CTCAAAGATAGAAAAATTACAAAGTAAAAGAAAGAAGAGAAGGGGAATACCTTCAAAGTGGCGTGCACAATATCGTTCATCAGGGTCAAGGAACTATGGCTCTCTAGCTTAGCTTTCTCAATTGGGCCAATTAAAGGCTCTAGCCATACATCCGCTTGACCTGATTTCCTTAAGAGACTGCCCTTAGTAGGAACTTCAATGACTACTCGCCTCATAGCAGCATTCTTACTTGAGGAGCCAACCTCAGTGCGATGAAAGTTTGGATGAGGAATTGTCGAAGGAGGACAGAAGAGGTGGTAAAGATAGTCTGGGGAGGAACAGAAACAATCAAAACTGGCAAAGAATGAGTTACAGACACGGGTGTCGAAAAAGAAGCCAAGGTTACTTCATCCAAAACAGGACCTAAGCCTTCACTACCAAACCCGCTAATAAAAAGCTGCTCAGCAGAGTTATGAGCAGCAGCGGGAGCAACGTCATCATCAAGAATTAGTATCGGAGTTTCAGCAGACTCGGTAAGAGGAACAGAACGACGGGGGGATACCTCTGCTTCATTATTATAAATGATGTGTCTTCGAGCTCGTGGCCTTGTCACCAAAGAGCCCCCGTCTTCCTCCTCTTCAGAGTCTTGTTCCTCAACAACAACGACTTTTCTTTTTGTAGAAGAACCCAAGATTATTTCTTAAGCCCTTTCCAAAGAGATGCGAGAAGCCGCGACTGCCTCGGCAGTGACTCCGCGAATAGCAAATCCTGATAAAAAAATGGATTGAAATTAGTGCAATAAAAAAAATGTACACGAAAAGATGAAATAAAAGTTCTTACCATGAGTTTTTACTTTCCAACCAAAACGGTTAGAAAGTGTCTTCCAAGACCTACCATTAATTGGTGCGGTCCTCAATAACTTGTCTACCCAATCACGGAAATTGGGAACGTCTTCCACAACTCCCATAGTAGCTAAAAAAAAGAATAAGCAAAATTAGAAAAGTTGACAAATTTGAAGAAAAAAGGTACGAGAAAGTTAAAAAGACTTACGTGCAAAATTCCACTTCTCAGGGAAGGGAAAATTATCATCACCCACTAAACCAACAGTAGGGGCCTGGCATACCAGCCACAATCTTTGTTATCCTCAGGGCTTACCAAAACTTACTTGCTCCTGGCTACTAGTGTGAAAATACCATTGCGAAAGAGTCTAGGGGAGTAAAGGTGAATCAAATGAGGGAAAGTAAAGGGAACACCAGTTGTGTTGGTCAAATGCCTCAAACAGGCAACAACCCTCCATATGATTGGGCCAATTTGACCCAAGCAAACATAAAAAAATGACAGAACTCAAGAATAACAGGGTCAATAGATGGTCTAAACCCTAAGGTGAAAAGGTATGTATAAATAAAAGAAACCCGATTATGTAAGAGGTGATTCTTTGATTTGGATTAGGGATAATAATAGGGAAAATCACTATTCTAATGACAGTCTCTACGAACTACAGAAATCAAACCTTCTGTAATTTGAGTGGGATAAATATCAGCACGATCTAAACCAGAGACTTGGTTCCTAAGAGATTCTCTGTCATGATAAAAAGATAGTTCCGTGGGAACTATCTCCTCTACTGTAGGCTCACGAAGAGGTTCAAAAGGTTTTTTACCTCTTGAAGAAGATCTTTGTGAAAGGGAACTCCTAGTTCTAGAAGAAGGGCCGGAACTAGGTAAAGGAGTGAAAGAATCGCGAATAGATCCTAAATTACAAAGCCTACCTCCCCTTCTGCTTCTAATGGGGGCATTAGGGAAGGAATCAATTATGGGAACCCTTCTAGGGTTAGAATTTGAAGAAGACATGATGAAGAAGGATGATACGATAAAGAAGCAAACATGGATTTGAGAGATTGAATATTCAGTAAACTTTATGTGGAAAAGACAAAGAAAGAAGTTATATTTATACTGATAAGCGACCGCCGAAGGAAAAAGTGTGATGATGGAAGTACCATAATAATGATAACTGACGCATCGTGAATAGTGGAGCCATGAAAAAGCCTTAAAAAGGGCTGCAGAATTGCAGAACTAATAAAAAGGTGACACGTGTAAAGAGCATTAAATAGAAGTGACAATTGAAGCGTCAATTTTGTCATAGCATTAATGGTGACAAAAATTCTCGTTTTAATGAAATCCACTTCCCAAATATTCAATTGATGAATAAATGGCAAGTGGAGGGACTATCTGTATTGGGAAAAATTGAGTTTACATATTAAAGTGGAATAAGGATGACGTGTCAAGACACGTAGACTAGTCACAGAGTTACAACTGGCAAAGAGACACGAGTTGCAACAGATACGAGCAAAGGCAAAGGAAGAGACACGGGCAGATAATCAAAGGACTCGACGCCCGTATCTATTTAAGTCATTTAGGTAAGGGAATCAAGGGGAATAAATCTGACAATATATGAGAATACAGATACAGTATTTAATGAGCATTAAATACTGAATACGTTAGAGAATCTGTATTAAATACAATGATTGTGTAACGTAGCATTCAATGTCTTTAATTACTCATAATAGCCTTATTAAGACAAGAGCAAAACACATATCTCCCAAATAGCTATAAAAGGGAGATAATTGATCAATTGTTGGGACACAAAACACTATTGGAATATACTTTAGTTTACTTGTTTTTCTCCTGATTATATTCTTGCTACCCAAATTATTCTCTTTTACATATTCTTTCGATTATCAGTAATCCATGTTCTTCTAAATTCTAGCTTTGACTAAAATTCCATTTTTTGGTTAAACAATAACAAAATTAACATTACAATACAATAACATAATATGGACAACCACCGTCCAAACAACCTACAAAGAAAAATGGCCCAAACTTTTAATCTGAAAAGAGAATTTATTCATTCAAGACTTTCATCCTCCTTATAATGCCTTCTTTGAGAGCAATATTAGTAGTACTATATCCACCATCAATCACAAAATTCATCCCACTTATATACTTAGATTCATCACTAGCAAGATACAATGCTGCTTCTGCAACATCCTCATCCTCCAACATTGTTCCTTTGAGGTTTGCAATTTCAGATAAAAATTCCTCAGCCTTTTCCTTCTCCTTAATACCTAGACAATTCAACAACGTAACGTTGGAGTTGCCACCCCAAATGGAGAAACACAATTTACTCTAATTCCATATTGTCCTAATTCTACACCCAAATTCTTAGCAAGCCCAACTACTGCATGCTTTGACGCAGAATACGTATGAGAGACATCGCCATAAGGCACTGAAGCAACACTGGAAGTGAAAAGAATGCTACCTTTCTTAGCTGGGATCATCACACACGCCGCGTGTTTTGCACATATTAATGCCCCAAAGACATTCACATCAAATACTGCTTTGAAATTTTCGTAGTCAGATTCTAAGATGGTGGAATCAGATCCAGCGTTGCTGAACATAATGTTAAGTTTCCCGTACTTGGAAATTGCTATGTCCACTGCATTTTCGACGTCTTTTTCCACTTTTACATCGCAATGTATGTAGGAAACAGCTCCCGTTTCACCTACTTTTTCAATGATAGATTGGCCAAGATCGTCTTGGACGTCTGCAATTACTACTTTTGCTCCGTGTTTGATGAAAAGTCTTGCTGCGGCTTCACCAATTCCACTACCGCCGCCTGTTACGATTGCAACTTTGCCCTCTAGCCTGATACAATATATATAGGAGTATAATTCAACATTCGATTTCATAGGATTGTGCTTAAGTTGATCACTAGAGCAACAATAAGGGTAACTTCTAGGGGCGAATCTAGGACGGGATTGGATTTTTCATCCGGTGTTCAATACTAGCATTGAGCCGATTAAATCGGGATTTGCGCCGGCCGGAAGTCCCATATTGGAGAGTAAATGCTTCCTAACCAAGATAACTTTATACTGAGGGTTCAAATCGAAGACCTTTGATTAAGGATGAATGAATACTTATCACTCCGCCACAATCCCTATTGAACAGTTGAACTCATTTTCCTTTGAGCTCGAAGTGTATATACTTATTTAATTTAATTTAAATATATACATATAATTAATTAGATCCACTCATTCTGACTCTAAATACAGAATTCGCCTATGATGAACTCCCCAATATCCTAAAAGGCATACAGCCGAATAATTATAATACGACATTCATATTTGAGGAGCCCAACATTGAGGAAAAGATAACAAAATAAACTTACCTTTTAGCAATGGAGCCGAGGGAGGAAAAGCTCGAGGCCATGGAATTGATCAGCTTCAAATGCTTGAAAATGAGGAACATACTTTTGTTAGTGAACTGTGCGAGTATTAATATACTGTGGGCCTTATTATTGGTCATGTGCAACTATCAGATTGTTAGTTGTAAGTTGACTTCTAATTAGTAAATTTGTAATTAAATCCTTTGAGAGTGTGTATCACGCACAGCTATTATATATACCTTTCTTAATGTTTGCTTGCTCTAGATATCTTCACACTATAATATGCATCAATCATACTCCCTCCCATACATTGCAGTTGTCATGGTTATTAAAACTAACTGGTTTAAAATATTTGTTATTTAGAAAATCAAAATATAATTAATAAACTTTTTCTCGTTTCGTTAACAACATTTCAGTGTAATTTCACAAGTGAGGTTTGATTAGGGTAGTGTATATGCAAATCCAAGGGCAGACGTACATTAGTCGAAGCTGCGTTCCATTCGACACCACTTCGCCGGAAAATTTTACTAAATACACATATAAACAGTGGACAGAGAAAACTGATATATTGACAAAATGACACCATTGGACAATCAAGCGTACTTGGTACGATGGCTAGCAGCCTAGCACGTCCATTTTCATCTAGAAGGGTGGGGTGTCGAGGCCCACTCCATAGTTTTTTGCACATTTTAAAGCATCTTTAGTTAAAAATTAGATTCTACAAGAATCGAACTCTATCCTTAATTTACAATTTTTGAGTGACAAGATTTGCTGGTGTTAGTCTTCTCATGTATCCATGTGCAGACTTTACCTTTACTTTGTGAAGGTAGAGAAGTTGTTTCTAATAGACCTTAGACTCAAGAAAAACGTAATAAAAAATCAAAGATATTAATTGTTCTTGAAAGTAAACTT